TGTGAAGAGTCTGCAGCGGAGCCTTTGTCGGAGGAAACTCGGAGGAGTGAGGGGCGGCGCGCTGTCTCCCCTCGACACAAGGGAACGCAGGTAGAGGCAGGCCCCGGAGGTAGGGGAGGTAGGGACCGGGGGAGACCAGATACAAGAACACGGGAGGCCATGCCTCGGAGACGAGGCAGGGAGAGGTGACCAAGGCGGTGGTGCCAGAGGAGAGTCTGGTGGGACAGGAGACGACACGAGCAGGGCGCAGACTTAGGACCAGACCTGGACGCTGCAGCAAACACCTAACTCGACGCAGCTACCTGACCAGACTCAGCAACCGGAGGAGACTCAGTAGTAAGTGTGTACAGGCTCGACCCCGGCGGACGGGTGAATGTGGCCAAGTGTCGGCCCGTCCGAGCACACGTACAGTGGGTCACGCGCTGACTCGCAGGTTCGAACTGGTCAACCCCCCTATCCTGTAGATCAGCTCCTCTCACCAAGTTCGTAGAGAACGAGGGGAGGTAGAGACCTGACAGGGTGCGAGAGGGGGCTGCCGGGCACGGTAAGACGGTGGAGAAGCTAGCAAGGACAGGACCCTCAGAGGGATCCGCCAGGGAGACCGCAACCGGCCGACCAAGCGGCGTAAGCGTGGTGCGGTCTCGAAAGGAGCGGGAAGCACCCGAGTCAAGGGTGTGTAAGGCCTGAGCCGACGTGGTACCTGAGAGAGCAGACTCACCAGCACCTGGGGCAGCAGACGCACTAGCACCTAGAGCAGCAGCCTCACCAGCACCTAGAGTAGCAGCCTCAATGCCCGGGTCAGGCAGAACACACATGTAACAGTCACCCTCATCACTAGTAGACACAGCATACATGGCAGCAAGAATAGCATCATAATCAAAATCAAAGATAGCAACCCCCGCCCTAGACAGCTCTCCCCAGCGAGGGATCTCAGTGGCGTCAAGGAACTGGTGAGGCCACATGTCCGTCAGGCGGCCGAAGCAGCGCTGGGTGGAGTGCGGGCCCCCGCACTGCTCACCAGCGCGGTCGCCGGTACGGAGGACGTAGGTGCAGGGACCAGTACCCCCACCTCGCTGACGCCCAGTGTACCACTCACGAGGCTGCTGGGGGGACGGGTCTCACGAGTGCGCTGCTGCTGCTGGCGCGGACCACCACCGGAGCCACTCCTCTGCGCAGAGCCGCGACCAGCTCCACCGCTGCCTCCGCCGCCTCCGCCACCTCCGCCGCCTCCGCTCCCTCCGCCACCGCCGCCGCCTCCTCCGCCTCCACTGTTGCCACCGACACCTCCACCCCCGCCACCACTCCCACCACCACCCCCACCCCCTCCACTGCCTCCACCACCACCCCCACCGCCCCCGCCAGCCCCTCCAGCGCCCTTGCCCCCCTTGCCCTTGCCGGTGTGGCGTCTCCCGCTAGGGGCAGACGCAGCGCCGACCGACTCGAAACCAACGAGGTCAGCCGCAGCAGTAGAAGCAACAGAGGGCAAGAGGGGGGAGGGGGAACACCCCTCAAAGACGGGGGTGCGAGGGTCGCCACGAGAGGCTCCTACAGCGACTATGCTCTTCTCTGCTGCTAGGAGGCGCTCCTCGAGGAGGTCAACGGTGAGTGTGGTGGGGCAAACTGAGAGGAAGTGGTCCCTGACTACGCGAAGGGAGTGAGGGAGCCGGGTGACTATGTAGTAGAGGGTGATGTACATGGGGGGGGGGGGGTTCTTTGCACAGAACTCAGCAGGAAGCGCAGCGCGGTAGCGAGTGTCACTAGTGCGAAGGTGCGTAATGAGGTCCGCGACTGTGGGAAAGGCAGCAAGGTCAGGGAACAGGTACGGCAGCATGAGGCGGCTAAGCGCAGCAGTGGCAGGGGAGGAGTAGCGTGCAACTACAGCGTCGTACAAGGTCTTAGCACTCTTGTACTGGCTAAAGTGCGCACGCTCAGTGGTCGGTAAGTGGCGACGCACAGCAAGACGGGCAGCAGCATCGCGTGTGGCCCACTGTGAGCGAGCAGTGCTGTCAGTAGTAGCAGGCGGGGCAGGAGAGGCACCAGAGGTGAGTTCGAACAGGGAGAGTCCGTCTGCCCTATCACACTGGAGAAACAGCTGGAGGTCATCGACCCAGACCTCAAAGTCAACAGTACGACCCTCAGCATCAAAGGTAAGGACACTGGGGGTAGCCATGACTGCAGTGGCCTAGCAGGGAGTGATCTCACCAGTCCGAGTAAGTAGGGCCGGGGCGCGCCGGTAGGAACAGTAGCGGCTTGACGGCAGGGCGGCTCGGCTGCTGGGCGGCTCGGCGGCTCGGCTGTTGGGCGGCTCGGCTGCTGGGCGGCTCGGCGGCTCAGTTGCTGGGCGGCTCGGCGACTCGGCGGCTCGGCTGCTGGGCGGCTCGGCGGCTCGGCTTCTGGGTGGTTCGGCTGCTCAGCTGCTGGGCTGCTCAGCGGTGAAGGGGCCGGTAGAGGCGGCGACGGGGCTGGTAGAGGCGGCGAGGTGGCCGCGAAGGGCGGCGACGGGGCCTCCAGGGGCGGCGACGGGGCCGCTAGGGGCGGCGACGGGGCCGCAGAGGGGCCGCAAGGGGCCTAGAGGGGCGGCGACGAGGCCGCGAAGGGGCCGTAAGGGGCCTGAAGGGGGCGGCGACGGGGCCGCAAGTGGCGGCGACGGGGCCACGAAGGGGCCGCGAGGGGCCTAGAGGGGCGGCGACGGGGCCGCTACGGGCGGCGACTGGGCCGTGAAGGGGCCGCGAGGGGCCTATAGGGGCGGCGACGGGGCCTAGAGCGGCGGCGACGGGGCCGTGAAGGGGCCGCGAGGGGCCTAAAGCGGCGGCGACGGGGCCTAGAGCGGCGGCGACGGGGCCGTGAAGGGGCCGCGAGGGGCCTAGAGGGGCGGCGACGGGGTCGCTAAGGACGGCGACGGGGCCGCTAAGGGTGGCGCGAGGGGCCTCTTGGAGGGTGCGACGTGAGGGCGGCCTACGGGGCACGCCTCGGGCAGGAAAAAAAAGATCGAGTTGGGTGGTGGGCCCTGAGAAGCGTTCCCACGAGGGAACCTGCTCTATACCATGTGAAGAATGAGGAATGAATCAACTAGCAAGCAGGTGGGTACAAGTAGGAAAACCTAGAAATGTTGTACCCCATATAGTCTACCCTACTACAGCCTACACAGACTATAGCATATAAGTTTGACAACAAGTGGAAGCACCAAGTTGGAAAATGAGTACAACTATGAGCTAAGGCGCGGGCGAACATTTATAAGAAGTTCAAACCACTCGTTCAAATAACCGTTTGAAACCCACTGCACCGATCCGAGCTCAGGAGGAGTCATAATACCACCAAACACGCAGCGCATTTACACCGCCGGTGAGATGCTTGTGCCGGGAGAGTTTTGCTCAATCCCGTGGAATCGAGGTTCGTTTTATTTTCGCCATGTGGCATGCCTTCGATCGCGAGAACCGCGATCTGTTTTATTCTTCCCACATTTTTTTAAGAGAAATATAGTAAAGCTTAGTGGGTCACTTGTACTGTCCTGCCCGCGGGCAACAATAAAACCCCTATAGGAAAAACATGCGTTAGGGATGCATCAACCCTAAACACCTAGAGGCAAGGTGTTTAGGGTTGATGCCTCCCTAACACATGCCATGCCCAAATGGGTTTTATTTTTGCCTGCGGGCAGCGCGGTACAGAACTTAACTAAATCTCTCTTGAACTTTGTGGTAACAATAAAACAGATCGCGGTTCCGCGATCGAAGGCTTCCCACGTGGCGAAAATAAAACAAACCGCGCTTCCGAGGATTTGAGCAAAATTCTCTTGTGCCGGATACACCGCCGTGACAGATGCCTTTTCTAATTTCAAGTACCTAGTATAGTAAACGTCTGTCCGGTAATCGTCGTGAGCCGCCATGGTTCGCCCGCACAGGTCGCTCATTAGTCGTTGGCTAACGCGCTTCTACTTGATTGGGTCGCAAAAAGCAGCTTCTGTCGTCGCAGCCGTCGCAATCGTCGCGTCCATTTCCGCTGTCGCATTTCTCCTATCGCCAGGATTCGTGCGGCCATTCTGGCCGTCGTTCCTCCCCAAGGGCCCTGCGTCACCTCCCTCCGCTTTCCCGCAGAGTGGTTGCGAAATTGCGAGGAACTGCCGCGAGAAGCGACTGGATCGATACATTTATGCTGATCAGGATCCTTCAGAATTCTGGTGAGCTTATATCGGGGATATTGTGCTTAATAGAGGTGAACTTGAACTCTTGAAACGGTTCTAAGCGAAGTGTTTCCTGCTTCACTAGCTAATGCGATACAGCAAATCTCCTCAAAAGTGTTTCTCTTGCTGCATTTGCGTACGCGTCTACGTGTAATGAAACGGTTATTAACGCGGATGAATGGGGCCGTGGGTTGGAGCAGGTGGGAGGACTCGGCCAATCGCATGCGAGACAAGGCCCCCAAGGGGTGGTGGACGGGTTACATTCTGCGGGTTACCACACACCGCTGGTTCAACAGGACCGTTACGAACCGCATCCAATGGTGGCATTGGATAACCGTAATTGTAAGACGCAGTGCTGCGACGGTAGCATGGTAACTGATTGAGATCGTGGAAGGTGAGTGTAGTATGAGATGAGCCTGTGGGAACGCTTTTGTAAGCGTCAGACGTGGATTTGTAACTAGGGTATGATTGCTTTGGCCAGGGCACCCACCACCACCTTCTCTTGATTGCCTGTCTTTATTCAAGGAGTTATTATTAACTTTCCTGTTGTCTCCCCCTTTTGTCGTGCACCGTTCCCACAGGCGCCTGACGACATGCACACAACGCGCACAAAGGGGGCTCGTGCTTTTTGTCATCGGGTGGGTCGGGGTGGACTCTACTCAACAATCCTCCACTCCGCTCACTGTTGCATCCCCCTCTCAACTCCATGCTCTCCTCCACTCCACACAGGCGCCGGCCGACATGCACAACGCACACAAGGGGCTCGTGCTGTTTGTGATCGGGTCAACTTAACACTCCATTTTTCACACCCCTCTCAACCGCAATGCACTCCTCCACACAGGCGCCGGACGACATGCACAACGCACACAAGGGGCTGGTGCTGTTTGTGATCGGGTCGGGGTGGTCGCAGTTCTACTTCCACCACGTGCCTGACAAGGACGAGATGTTTACCGCTGCGTTTGCGCCGTACGTGCTGCCTTTGCCCCGTACGTGCTGCCTTCGCCCGGTACGTGCTGCCTTTGCCCCGTACGTGCTGCCTTTGCCCCATACGTGCTGCTTTCGCCCCGTACGTGCTGCCTTTGCCCCGTACGTGCTGCCTTTGCCCCGTACGTGCTGCCTTTGCCCCGTACGTGCTGCCTTTGCCCCGTACGTGCTGCCTTTGCCCCGTGCTGCTGCTGTTGCTTCTGTTGCTGCTGTTGCTGCTGCTGCTGTTGCTGTTGCTGCTGCTGCTGCTGCTGCTGCTGCTGCTGCTGCTGCTGCTGCTGCTGCTGCTGCTGCTGCTGCTGCTGCTGCTGCTGCTGCTGCTGCTGCTGCGGCTATACCTGAAGCATTTTTTAGTGTGCATGCACGGTGGACCCTGGAAGGTCTTGGTGTGATCAGGCGGAGTGGCAGGGATGCGGCCTGGCCACGGAATGGTGCATAGAATGTCATGGGGGAGTAAGCAATGGTTAGGGCAGCAATGCAGGCATATCCGGCCAGGGGTGTTTGTTGAGTTGGTCCTGTGCTGCGCTCTTCCTGGCGCTCTTACATGCCATTCAGTGCGTGCCGCGTGGCATCGTAGCACTGGAGCTGGTAGTTCCTACCTTCCGAGTGCTATAACGCCCGTCAGTCAGAAAAGCACCATTGCCTCACCCGTCACCTGCCTGTCCCCATATTTGGTGCTCTTGTGTGTTGTCCATGACATGGCATGCCACGTGGCAGTCTGGTAGTGGAGCTGGGGATGCTGGGAGCAGTGCTGCATCAGCAGCCAATGGAGCCGATGTCTTTCTATGTGGGGCCTAACGGGCCGGGCAATTTCAAAGATTTGGAAGAAGACGAGCTGATGGCGTGTGAGTGAGTGAGTGCGGTGATAGCGTGAGTGAGTGCGGCGATGGTGTGTGGGTGAGTCCAAGCGATTGCATGTGTTCAAGACTCAAGAGAGGGCATGTGGGGATTGCATGTTAACCCGCCCGCCGTGCTTATGCTTTTACACGTGTGAGCGCACAAGATGTTGAGGATTTTATCATCCATGCATGCATTATTCAATAAAATCTCACGTTCATCCATCCATCCGTCCGTCCATCCGTCCGTCCGTCCATCCATCCATCCATCCATCCATCCATCCATCCATCCATCCATCCATCCATCCATCCATCCATCCATCCATCCATCCATCCATCCATCCATCCATCCATCCATCCATCCATGCATGTATGCTCCCCTATTCCAGTCTCCTTTGCAATGGCGTTGAAGCATTCAGATGAGATAGAGTGGCAGCTCTCAGTGCCCATGGCCAAGTCCATCGTGAGGGGAATGGATGCGCTGCAGCTCGCCTCCAGAGAGATCTTTCCGCACCTCCCGGTCAGTCACTGCCGCTCTGATTGCCTGCTGCCGGTCACTGCTGCTCTGCTTGCTGCCGGTCACTGCTGCTCTGGTCACTGCCACTTGTGACGTGCCAGTCAGTGCAATGTGTTACAGTCACTGACTAGTCACGAGCTGCCTGGACTGTGCGTATGCTCTGGTTAGATTGTACATACACTTTACTCCTCTCGGTTCTGATGTGGCATGTATCAAACATGGAATGTGATGTGGTGGTGCGTGGTGCGGCATTGGATGCCTGTGGCATGTGGTGTGTAGCATGTGCTGAGTGTTCTGCGGTTCTTTGCATGGGATGTGTGGGATGGGTACTGTGGGACGGGGTGGCATGGGGTGTGTGGGATGGCATGGGACAGGTGGAAGGCTTTGTGCTCATGGGAGTGAGCAAGAGAGGACTCATGGCATGGCTGACGGCCGCTATGGATAAAGTGAGAAGGGCGGGCATGCCTGTTGGACCCACCTGCATGGCATCACATGGTCTACCATTGCATGGCATCACATGGTCTACCATTGCATGGCATCACATGGTCTACCATTGCATGGCATCACATGGTGACCATGGTCTACCATTGCATGGCATCACATGGTCTACCATTGCATGGCATCACATGGTCTACCATTGCATGGCATCACACGGTCTACCATTGCATGGCATCTACCATCGCAGCAGTGGTGTGCAGCAAGGGAACATCAAGAGGAATGGTGATGATGGTTTGCAGTGCACTCTTGCTTGTCTCCCAGTGACACGTCTCAACCCAGCCTGGGATATATATATGTTTTCTCGTTTCATTCATTTAACCATCCATGCATGCGCGCATCGCTGTGCGTTTTTTTTTTTTTCCACTTTCTTTCCCCCATGTTTTGTCTTCCCACTGCAGAGGGTGGTGGGCATAGTGGCGTACGGCTTTGACCTGCTGGACTTTGGGCGCAACTTCCAGCACCTGCACGACTCGCTGGGCGCGTGGCCGGTCATCCTCAAGTTCTATGCCATCTTCAACGTCACCGAACAGCTGCAATCGCCCCAGTTCCAGAGGCTCACTGTAAGCACCGGGTGGGAGTGAGCGAGAGAGAGGTGGGGTATAGGTGGCACCAAGGTGGCATAGGTGGCACCAAGGTGGCATAGGTGGCACCAAGGTGGCATAGGTGGCACCAAGGTGGCATAGGTGGCACCAAGGTGGCATGGGTGGCAGCAAAAGTGACATAGGCAGCACCAAAGGTGGCACGGTTGGCACCGAAGGTGGTATTTGTGGTACTAAAGGTGGCATGGGTGGCACCGAAGGTGGTATTTGTGGTACTAAAGGTGGCATGGGTGGCACCGAAGGTGGTATTTGTGGTACTAAAGGTGGCATGGGTGGCACCGAAGGTGGTATTTGTGGTACTAAAGGTGGCATGGGTGGCACCGAAGGTGGTATTTGTGGTACTAAAGGTGGCATGGGTGGCACTGAAGGTGGTATTTGTGGTACTAAAGGTGGCATGGGTGGCACCGAAGGTGGTATTTGTGGTACTAAAGGTGGCATGGGTGGCACCGAAGGTGGTATTTGTCGTTCTAAAGGTGGCATGGGTGGCACCGAAGGTGGTATTTGTGGTACTAAAGGTGGAATGGGTGGCACCGAAGGTGGTATTTGTGGTACTAAAGGTGGCATGGGTGGCACCGAAGGTCGTATTTGTGGTTCTAAAGGTGGCATGGGTGGCACCGAAGGTGGTATTTGTGGTACTAAAGGTGGCATGGGTGGCACCGAAGGTGGTATTTGTGGTACTAAAAGTGGCATGGGTGGCACCGAAGGTGGTATTTGTGGTATTTAAGGTGGCATGGGTGGCACCGATGGTGGCATAAGTGACTCTAAATGTGGCAGAGGTGGCACCAAGGGTGGCAGTGGTGGCACCAGAGGTGGCATAGGTGGTGTTAGGGATGAGCAAAGGGCGAACACGAACATGTTCGTCTTCGCCCCTTGTCTAACACCCTCTTTTGCCGAACCGAACAGTGTTCGGTTCGGCGAACAGTTTAGGAAAAAACAGGTGTTCGCTGTTCGCCTGTGGAGGCGTGTTCGGGCGAACCTCGAACACTGTTCGTGTTCGTCGCGGGCAAATTTCAGCAGCGGCCAGAACACGAACGTGTTCGGGCGAACATCGAACACTGTTCGGCGAACGATTTGAGCTAAAAAACAAAACCTGTTCGGTTCGCCTCGAACGTGGTGTTCGCCACCTTGCTCATCCCTAGGTGGTGTACGGCATTATTAAATCGTGTGTTTTTCAAATACCACCACCTTTGCTGCCACCTTCCAGCTGCAGTCGCCTGAGTTCCAAAGGCTAGTTGTGAGCACACGGTAGCAGAATGTGGGAGATATAATGGTTGGACTTCAACGTGTGCTTGCCATGCCCAAATGCTTCGTTTCCTCTCACTCATGTCTTCTTTCCTGCCTGGCTCATCACCCCTTGCTGCCCACATCACCCCTTGCTGCCCACATCACCCCTTGGCTGGCTGACTGCAGGAGGACACGGACCCATACTACTACAGGGAGCGCCTCACCATGCCCAAGCTGCTCGTCAGTGCCGCCAACGATGAAGTGCTGGCTCTGGATGACACGTGAGTGGGATGACACGTGAGTGGGATGACACGTGAGTGGGATGACACGTGAGAGGCGCTTAGGGTTCAGGATTTAGAGTTGGTGGCACGTGAGTGGGGTTTCGGGTTCAGGGTTTAGGGTTAATGGCACGTGAGTGGGATGACACGTGACGTGAGTGGGCCTTTAGGTTTAAGGTTGTGACACGGGAGTGGGATGGTGGCACATTAGTGAGCTGATGACACATGAGCGGGGATCAGGGTTCATGGTTTAGGATTTAGGGCCAATCACATGTGCGTGGGGTGATGCGTGCGTGGGGTGATGCGTGCGTGGGGTGATCACATACCCCTTTTGAGTTGATAACAGCAGCACACGTGACCTCCGCCCTTTATTTGCCCATTCTCTTCCATCCACCATTCGTTTTCCCTGTTGTAACTGTATCTTATATACAACATACATAGGCTAGAATGGTGTAGCTCTTTATGTTCTTGGGGGGTTGGGTGTACACTCCAACCACATTTTGTGGTTGGTCAAGGTTGGGTTTGGTCTTGGTCCTTGGTTGGCACTTGCCAACTTTTGGTCCTAAGGCCTACCAATCACAACCTAGCAACATTGTGGGGTTACCTACTCCACAAGGCATCTCCCCCATTGGCCAACTTAGTGGCCAATAGGGTTTGCTCCTTCTTCACCCCTCTCTTGCTTGCATGCTTGTACTATAGAGCCTCAATGGCTCATCATTCAACTACTCTTGAATTCTATCATGGTATTCAGAGCCAACTGGCTCACGCCACCTTCCCTCGATCCTCATGTTGTAATTCCCTCCCCGCTCCCTTACCCTAGCGGACTATGACCTACATCCGCCCACCCGCTCCTCAGATCTAGCCTCCCGCGGCTCAGTTCCGCCTCCCGCACCTCAGATCTAGCGTTCCGCGGCGTAGATCTCCTCCTCCGCGGCCTCAATCCTCCCTCCCGCGGCCTCTATCCTCCCTCCCGCAGCCCCTATCCGCTCCCCCGTGGCAGCAATCCTTCCTCCCGCCGCCACGCCTCCATCTGCCCGCCGACGCGTCCGACCTCCGCGCCGACGCGGACGACCAGCGCGGCGACGCGGACGACCTGCGACCGCCGCGGACGGCCAGCGCGCGACCCCCGACGACCAACGCGCTGCCGCGGACGGCCAGCGCGGCCTCGCCGACGGCCCGCGCGCTGACGCGGACGGCCAGCGCGGCCCCGACGACCCGCGCGCTGACGCGGACGGCCAGCGCGGCCCCGCCGACGACCCGCGCGCTGACGCGGACGGCCAGCGCGGCCCCGCCGACGACCCGCGCGCTGACGCGGACGGCCAGCGCGGCCCCGCCGACGACCCGCGCGCTGACGCGGACGGCCAGCGCGGCCCCGCCGACGACCCGTGCGCTGACGCGGACGGCCAGCGCGGCCCCGCCGACGACCCGCGCGCTGACGCGGACTGCCAGCGCGGCCCCGCCGACGAGCCGCGTGCTGACGCGGACAGCCAGCGCGCGGCCACGAAAGAACCGCGCGCCACCGCGGACGGCCAGCGCGCGGCCGTCGACGCCCCTGCGCCGACGTGGACGGCTGGCGCGCAGCCGCGGCTGATCTGCCCGCCGTCGCGTTCGCCTGCCCGCGATCTCCACGACCTCGAAACCCTAATTCCTCCCCGCACTTCCGCACCAGCCTCTCTTCCCCTCTACCTCCTCCCCCTACTCCACCCCTAACGGCACCAGCAGCAGCAGCAGCGGCATCGGCGGCGGCAGCAGCAGCGGCATCAGCGGCGGCAGCTGCAGCGGCATCGGCGGCGGCAGCTGCAGCGGCATCGGCGGCGGCAGCAGCAGCGGCATCGGCGGCGGCAGCAGCAGCGGCATCGGCGGCGGCAGCAGCAGCGGCATCGGCGGCGGCAGCAGCAGCGGCATCGGCGGCGGCAGCAGCAGCGGCGGCACCAATACCAACAGCAGCAGCGGCGCCTTCACCCCTCCGCCGTCATGGCGTCATCCGACTCCTCGGTCGATCTAGCGACCATTGACGCCCTCGAGCTGCTCGGCGACAACTCGGCCGCCAACTGGCACTCCTATGCTCACTCCGTCGAGGTGTTGCTCTCCTCGGTCATCGTCAGTGGTTATACACTCCGCTCCGTCGTGTTCCAGGAGGAAGGCGGACTCCAGCCCATCGCCCCTTCTGCCCCCACCGGACCTCCTCCTGATGAGCCCGGACCTGAGCCCGAGTCCCCTGGTGATCCTCCCTCCTTCGCACCGGATGTCAACAATCCTCAAAGCATGGAAACTGCCATCCGTGCCTACCGCAACACACTCAACGACCACCTTCGCCGTCAACTGCGCTATGAGGACGACAAGCGCGCCTACGACGAGGCTGCTGCCCGTCACCGCGACTACCACGCCCAAGTCACCACGTACACTACACGCCTCGCTAGCTACACCTCCGACATCGCTGCGTGGCGCATTGCTGACCGTCGAGCTCTCGCCATCCTCCTCGCCACTATCCCCTCCTCCCTCAAGCGAGAACTCTCACCCACCTCCTCCTCCCACCTGTGGCAACTGCTTGTCGACCTCTTTGACCGGCAGGACATCGCCACCCTCTATGCCCTCATCAAGGACTTTGGATCCATCACCATGGATTCCACTGCCGGCGCAGCCGCCTTTACTCGCCGCGTCCTTGACCTTGCTCGCCGCCTTGCAGCACTTGGTGTTACCTACCCTGACACCGTCATCTGCTGCCACCTCCTCGAAGGCCTCACTCCTGCCTTCGATGCCCACAAGCTGGCCTACATGCAACTCCTCTCCAAACATGACACTCCCGCTCAAGTTGCCCAGTGGATTATCACCACCGAGGCAGAAATCCTTCGCCACTCCTCCTCCACTGCCGCGGTAGCACAGCAGCGCAGCGGCAAAGGCGGACGTGGAGGGGGGCGTGGAGGTGGGCGTGGAGGTGGTCGAGGCGGCTCTGGCGGTCGTGGTGGTGCAGGTCGTGGTGCAGCAGCGGCCTTCCCACCCTGTCAGTATCTTCCCCTTTATGGCCCCACCCGAGGCCAACGCTGCAACCAAACCACTCATGCAACTGAGACGTGCTTTAAGGCACTCAGCGATGAGTGGTTCGCTCGTGGGAACTCTGGCACCCCTCCTCGCTGGTCCGCCCTTAATCCCCGCCCCACTCCCCTCGACGTTCGCACCTCTCCCCTCTACGCTCCTTCCTCCTCCTCCCAGGCCCACCAGGCCTTTGCTCTCCCCTCTCAGCAGCAGCAGCATCAGCAGCAGCAGCAGCAGCAGCAGCAGCAGCAGAGTGTACAACAGCAGGGACCGCAGCAGTACGGGCAGCAGCTTCAGCAGCTCCAGCAGCAGCTTCAGCAGCTCCAGCAGCAGCTCGACCTCCAGCCCCAGCTTCCTCTCCTCCCTCCTCCTCCTGTCCCCCAGCAGCAACCGTTTCCCGGCTGGACCGCTGGGAATGCAGCCTCTGCGGCCCACCTCTCCGGTCCCTCCCCTGCGCCGTCCACAGGTGGTAGTGTGACCCCCTTTCCCTCCTCTGGCTTTGTTGGTCTGCTTAGTCAGCCTCCCTCTGTTGCATCCCCTATGTATGCGCCTGCTACTAATGAAACTTCCATTCAGTACTCCGCCTCACCCTCCTCCACCCTTGAGTTCGTCCTGGATAGTGGAGCCACTGACAATGTCTTTCGCGATGCTGGCAAACTCCATCCTCTCCCCACACCCACGTCCCTCCTCGGCGCTGACAGCAGCTTTTCCATCCCCTGTCACAACACGTCCACCCTTCCCTGTCCTCTCTTTCCCTCAGGTACCGTCACAGGTCTTCACATTCCCTCCCTTCGCACTAACCTCCTTTCCCAAAGGTCCCTCCAACAATCCATGATCACCACTGTCACCCCAGGAGGTGCTAACCATTGTGACCTTTTCCAAACCTCCACAGGTCGCTTCCTCGCCCGCATTCCCTACTGTCACCGCTCCCGTCTATACACCCTTCGGGTTCCTCGCCCCTTCACCTTCCAAGTTGCCTCCCCCCCCCTCCTCCCCCCCCCTCCTCCCCTCCCTCCCACTAACCCACCCGTCCCCCCCCCGCCCCCCTGACTCTGACTGCTCATGTCGCTCCCTCTCCCACCCTGCTATCCTCCTCCATCACAGGCTAGGTCACTTCAACTTCGCCACTCTGCGCTCCTCTGTATCCTCCGGTCTCCTCCACGGTCTCCCCTCCTCCCTCCCTCCCCTCCCAAAGTCCCCTGCCCCCCCTTGCGTCGTCTGTGTTCAGAGCAAGCTCAAGCAGCAGCCGCACCGGAGCTCCCCCTCCGCTGCAGCCCAGCCACTTGATCTTGTTCACATGGATCTCTGGGGCCCTAACCCCTCCCCCACTCGCCAAGGCCATCGCTACCTCCTCGTGCTCGTCGATGATCACAGTCGGTACTCGTCCGTCTCTCTCCTTCGGACGAAGGCGGACGCCCCGACTGCGATCATTGCCTGGCTCGAACAGGCAAACACCCACTTTGGGCGCCCTGTTCGCCGCCTCCACTCTGATGGTGGTGGTGAGTTCCTTAACAACCAGATCTCCTCCTATTGCCAGTCCCGCGGCATTCTTCAGACTTACACCCTCCCTCACTCCCCACAGCAGAACGGTGTCGCTGAGAGCCGTGTTCGGGAGATCACCAAAACGGCTCGGTGTCTCCTTGTCCACGCCTCTTGCCCCACTTCTCTGTGGGGCTACGCCCTCCTTCATGCCGCCCTCCTTACTAACCTTTACCCTCACCCCCTCCTCCCCTCCACCACCCCCACTGAGCTATGGACAAAGGACAAACCCGATGTCTCCCCTCTTCGGGTCTGGGGCTCAAAGGCATATGTCCTCATTCACCCATCTGACCGATCCCGTTCCCTAGGAAAACTTGCCCCTCGTACCCTTCCCTGCATCTTCCTTGGTCATAACCCCTCTTCCCCCGACTATCTTTTCCTCCACCCCCCCTCCGGTCGACTAATTCGCAGCAGGGATGTCGTCTTTGACGAATCCACCCCATACTATTCCTCTCCTCCGTCCACTGACCCACTCCCACCTCTGACTCGTCCCCTTGTCTGGTCTGACACCACCCCTCCCCCTCTCCTCCCTCCTCCCCCCATCCTCCCACCCCCTCCCCCACCGCCCCCCCAGTCCCACGGTGCCCCTCCCTCGTCTGGTGACATCTTTGACCCGGACCCCCTGTCTTCCCCTGTCTCCCCCGCTCACTCCTCCCCTGGTGCCCCTCCTCCCCCTCCCTCCCAACCCTCGCCTCCCTCCCCCCCTCCCCGCACCACACTCACCCGGTATCCTCACACCAGGTCGTGCGACGGTATTCTTGGTGCACCGCCCCCTGTTACCCTCTCTACCTCTACCCTCCCCCCTCTTTCCCCCCTTCTTCACCACTTCTTCCAGGCTGTCCTGCATCAAGCCCCTCATGCACCCGCCCCCTCTACTACCTCTCCAGCAGCGGCAGCGGCAGCAGCTCCAGCAGCAGCCACCGCAGCAGCACCAGCAGCGGCACCAGCAGCGGCAAGTGCAGCGGCACCAGCAGCGGCAAGTGCAACGGCACCAGCAGCGGCGAGTGCAGCGGCAGCGGCGGCCTCGGCAGCGGCACCAGCAGCGGCGGCACCAGCAGCGGCATCAGCAGCGGCATCAACAGTGGCACCAGCAGCAGCACCTGCGGTCATCCGCGCCTTCCACACCTCCCTCTCTGAGGACTCCCATGAGGAGTTCCTTGACCTCCACCTCTCTGACCCCTCCCTCCTTCCCATCACCTCTGACCTCTCTGGAACACCAGTCTTCGCCTTTTCCTCCGCACCCTCCACCTTCATCCCAACCACGTATGAGGAGGCCATGGCTTGTCCCGACGCCCCGCTCTGGCTCGCCGCCATCATCAAGGAGCTCGAGGCGTTTATTGCCAACTCCTCCTTCGTTGATGTGCCTCGCCCTCCCCCCTCTACGAACGTGGTCAAGGGGAAGTGGGTGTTTCGCGTCAAGCAGCTGCCAGGAAAACCGCCCGTCTACAAGGCCCGGTATTGCGCCAAGGGCTTCACGCAGCGGTATGGCTTTGACTTCTTCGACACCTTCTCCCCCACCGCCAAACCTGCTACCGTTCGCGCCGTCCTCGACCTCGCCGCTCGCCTCAACATGGAGATCCACTCGATGGATGTCTCCAACGCCTTCCTGCAAGGCGTACTACGTGAACTGATCTACATGGAGCGCCCCGCGGGCTTCCACCTCCCCTTCCCCGCTGACTCTGTCTGGCAGCTGCGCCGCCCGGTGTATGGGCTCCGCCAGGCTCCCAGGGAATGGCATGCCAAGCTTGCTGCCACCCTTGTCGAGCTTGGGTTTCGCACCTCCCGCTCCGACGCCAGCCTCTTCCTCCGCACCTCCCCCTCCCCCTTCTACATCCTCGTCTATGTTGACGATATGATTCTTCTCACTGCCGATCCTGCCGAGCTCGAGACTGTCAAGACGGAGCTGGGCAGCCGTCTCAAGTGCAAAGACCTGGGAGAGCTGCAGCACTACCTCGGCATGACCATCACTCGCGACCGCTCCGCCCGCACCATCTCTCTCTCTCAGGGCCACTACATCCAGCAGGTCTTAGAACGGTTTGCAATGGCGCGCGGTAACCCCCAGCCCACTCCCCTTTCGGTCGGGCACCACCTCTCCCCACCCTCCTCTCCCTCTCCCTCCTCCCCTCCTTATCCTGAACTCATCGGCTCTCTCATGTACGCCATGGTCTCTACTCGCCCTGACCTTGCCTACCCCATCAGCGTCCTCGCTCGCTTCGTTGGCGCTGGCAAGCATACGGAGGAGCACTGGCAGGCCGCCAAGCGCGTTCTTCGCTACATTCGTGGCACCAAGGACTATGTCCTTACCCTTGGCGGCCCTTCCCCACCCCTCCTCAACGGCTACAGCGACTCTTCCTGGGCTGACTCTCGACCGGATCGGCAGTCCTCTCAGGGTTATGGCTTCTCTCTGGGCAGCGGCCTCATCAGCTGGCGGTCCACACGCTCCTCTGCCGTCGCCCTCTCCTCCTGCGAGGCAGAGCTCTACGCTGCAACCATGGCCGCGCAGGAGGCGCGCTGGCTCACCTTCCTCCTTGATGAGCTTGGAGCCCCCCAACGCTGTCCCACCATCTGGTGTGACAACGCTAGCACCATCCACCTCACCAAGGATGCTGTGTATCATGGGCGCTCCAAACACATTGAGCTCCGCTACTTTTTCATTCGTGAACTCGTTTAGGCCGGCCATCTTCGCCTTGGCAAAATCGACTCGGCGGCCAACCTCGCTGACATCTTCACCAAAGCCCTTCCCCAGGCGTCCCACTCCTTCCTTCTGCGCCTCGTTGGCCTCACCCCTCCTCCGGTTTTGGCGGCCTCCTGATTCCATTTTCTAGCCTTATGCCTGTTGGGGGGTTGTGTTGTAACTGTATCTTATATACAACATACATAGGCTAGAATGGTGTAGCTCTTTATGTTCTTGGGGGGTTGGGTGTACACTCCAACCACATTTTGTGGTTGGTCAAGGTTGGGTTTGGTCTTGGTCCTTGGTTGGCACTTGCCAACTTTTGGTCCTAAGGCCTACCAATCACAACCTAGCAACATTGTGGGGTTACCTACTCCACAAGGCATCCCCCCCATTGGCCAACTTAGTGGCCAATAGGGTTTGCTCCTTCTTCACCCCTCTCTTGCTTGCATGCTTGTACTATAGAGCCTCAATGGCTCATCATTCAACTACTCTTGAATTCTATCATTCCCCTGGTCCTTCTCAGGCCCTTTTCTCCTCTCCCACCCCCGGGTCCTTCCTTTCTTGGTTTCATGTGGTGCGTGGGGCCACATTCCGGTTCTCCACTCTCTACCCTGCCCTAGGGATGAGCAAGTGGCGAACACGAACGTGTTCGTGTTCGCCCCTACACGAACACCTTCGTTTGCCGAACCGAACACTGTTCGGTTCGGCGAACACTTTGAGCAAAAAATGGTGTTCGCCGTTCGCCTGTGAAGGCGTGTTCGGGCGAACCTCGAACACTGTTTGTGTTCGTCGCGGGCAAATTGCAGCAGCGGCCCGAACACGAACGTGTTCGGGCGAACATCGAACACTGTTCGGCGAACATTTTAAGCCAAAAAAAAATACCTGTTCGGTTCGCCTCGAACGTGTTCGAGGCGAACCGAACAGGTGTTCGTTTTTTTGCTCAACCCTACCCTGCCCTGCCAGGTGCACCTGGTGGAATGACATGCCCGAGCCAAAGCTGCTCTCCACTACCCCCCCATTCTCCTTTGCCCCGCTCTCCCCCACTCCCCCCTCTTCCCCCTTCCCCCTCTCCCCCCTCCCCTCTCTCTAGCCTGCCCTGGCAGGTACATCTGGCGGAACGACATGCCCGAGCCAAAGCTGCTCTCCCCAACCGGCCCTTCTCCCCAACCTGCCATTCTCCCCAACCTGTCATTCTCCCCAACCTGTCATTCTCCCCAACCTGTCATTCTCCCCAACCTGCCATTCTCCCCAACCTGTCATTCTCCCCAACCTGTCATTCTCCCCAACCTGCCATTCTCCCCAACCTGCCATTCTCCCCAACCTGTCATTCTCCCCAACCTGCCATTCTCCCCAACCTGCCATTCTCCCCAACCTGCCTTTCTCCCCAACCTGCCCATTCTCCCCAACCTGCCCATTCTCCCCTGCCGCCTTTGTTCCCCCCACTCTCCCACCTCCTCCATCCCTCCCCGGCAGGTACATCTGGTGGAACGACATGCCCGAGCCAAAGCTGCTCAAGATAATGGCCAACTCGGAGCACATGCAGATCCACGTGAACCAATGGGTGAGCACATGCAGATCCACGTGAACCAATGGGTGAGCACATGCAGATCCACGTCAACCAATGGGTGAGCACATGCAGATCCACGTGAACCAATGGGTGAGCACATGCAGATCCACGTCAACCAATGGGTGAGCACATGCAGATCCACGTCAACCAATGGGTGAGCACATGCAGATCCGCGTCAACCAATGGGTGAGCACATGCAGATCCGCGTCAACCGCTGGGTGAGCACATCCTCTCTCGCTTCCCCCTGGAGAGCCAACCTTTCCTTCCTTTCCCTCCTCTCCAACTCCTCCTGAGCACGTGTAGGTGCGATTTCATGTATGCAAGCTTGATTGCCAACATCACACTTCCCCCATACTCCCCCATGCCCTCTTTCCCGAAACCCTCAGCGCCCCCCTCTCCACACCCCCTCTCCACCCCCCCTCTCCACCCCCCCTCTCCACCCTCCCTCTCCACCCCCCCTCTCCACCCCCCCTCTCCACCCCCCCTCTCCATCCCCCCTCTCCACCCCCCCTCTCCACCCCCCCTCTCCACCCCCCCTCTCCACCCCCCCTCTCCAACCCCCCCTCTCCAACCCCCCTCTCCAACCCCCCTCTTCAAACCACACTCCAGGCCAACCAAGCAACCCTTTCATTCCTCGCCTCTCTCCTGCACGTCAACTCCTCCTGCGCCTCGCTCCCCGCCTCCTCCCGCCCCTCCCTCACCTGGACGCGCCCCTCCAACGCCCCCCCTTCTCCCCGCCGCCGCAAGCGCTTCGACAAAACAGAGGGCACGGGGCTGTTTGCCCGGGAGGAAAGGGAAACGGCCGAAAGGGAGACGGCAGAGGCTCAGACAGGAGAAGGGGGGGTGGGAGGGTCAGAAGGTGACGGACTGACCAATCAGGAGCAGCCACCGCATCCCTGGGGCTGCATACCGGAGCTGCCAGCTGTCGACTGGCCTAAGCTGAGGTGGCGGTTTGATTGGTCCACGTTCACCATTCATGCCACGTCAGACAGGAAGCCGCTCGCGGTTAGAGCATGGTGAGGGGGAGGGGGAGCAGAGAGGTCAGGAAGTGGAGGGAAACAGGGGAGGGCAAGGGGGAGAGGGTTGGGAATAAGTAAAGTGGGGGGGAAGGGGCAGGGTGAGAAAAAGCAGAATCGGGTGAGAGGGGGTGAGGGGAAGAGGGGGAGGGGGAAGGGGGAAGGGGAGGGAGAAGAGGGGGAGGGGGAAGGGGAGGGGGAAGGGGACGGGGAGGGGGAGGGGGATTGGGAGGGGAAGGGCGAGGGAGGGGAGGAGGTTGGAAGGGAAGAAGCGATTGCGAAGATGGGTGAGTGTACGGCTGCTGCTGCCAGTCAACCTGTTGTTCTGCCTTCTGTAAGTTTCATAGGATTGCACGTTTCATGGGATTGCACGTTTCATGGGATTGCACGTTTTATGGGATCACATTTACGGATGTGCATTATGGCTTTTGGGCTGTATTTCTCTTCACTCAGCCCTCTCCACCCTCAACAATCCAAAACTCGCACACCATTCCCTGTCCCCTTCCCCTTTCCCCATTCCCCCTTTCCCCATTCCCCCTTTCCCCATTCCCCCTTTCCCCATTCCCCCTTTCCCCATTTCCCCTTCCCCTCTTCCCCCTCTCCCCACCAGGACTGGCCGCACAGCCAGCGAGCGCCGAGACTTCCGCTTCGTGCTGCAGCGAGGCTCCAAGGGATGGTGAGTGGTGCAAGTGGATGGTGAGTGGTGCAAGTGGATGGTGAGTGGTGCAAATGGATGGTGAGTGGTGCAAGTTGATGGTGAGTGGTGCAAGTGGATGGTGAGTGGTGCAAGTGGATGGTGAGTGGTGCAAGTGGATGGTGAGTGGTGCAAATGGATGGTGAGTGGTGCAAGTTGATGGTGAGTGGTGCAAGTGGATGGTGAGTGGTGCAAGTGGATGGTGAGTGGTCCAAATGGATGGTGAGTGGTGCAAGTGGATGGTGAGTGGTGCAAATGGATGGTGAGTGGTGGAAAGGAATGGTGAGTGGTGCAAAGGGTTGGTGAGTGGTGCAAAGGGATGGTGAGTGATGCAATGGGTTGGTGAGTGGTGCAAAGGGTTGGTGAGTGGTGCAAAGGGTTGGTGAGTGGTGCAAAGGGTTGGTGAGTGGTATGGGGTGTGTCCTGTTCGTGCAGCCCAACCCCATCTGCCTCTGCATCTGCTTCCTTCTCTCCCTTCATCCCCCCAACCCTATCAACACCACATCACCCTCTCCTCCTCCCCCCCTCGGCTGGCAGCATGATGCTAATGGTGCAGGGCACGTGTGCAGGCAAGTTCGACCTGTGTGTGCAGGCCACGTCATTTTCCCCCCGCACCTGCTGACATCTCTCCCTTCATCCCCCACGCCCTCTCACCAACCCATTCCCCCTCCTCAGCACGGCGCCCATGCCAACGGTGCCAGGCACGTATGCAGGCAAGTTCGACCTGTGTGTGCAGGCCACGCCATTCTTCCTGCACACCGTCTCGCCGCCCAAGCACCACTCTGAGGATGGCTTGTGGCACTTCACCTCCACCATCAGCGGCGTTCCCAAGGTGACTATTATGTTTTTTTTTAATATATATACATATATATATATATATATTAGGGGTGACCATCAGTGACATTCTCAACTTCTGAAGAAAGCGCTTCGCAAGGTGACTGCAGTGTTTCAAAGGTGACTATAGTGAGGGGTCACAAGGTGACTGACTGAGCGACTTCCCCAAGGTGATTGTGTGACAGTTTTTTTAGGTGTGATTCTTTACCCAGCATGTTTGATTTTCCTGTGGATGTTCTGCGTGGAGGAGATTGTTGAGAGAGAAGGAAAGAACCATAGTGTTACTCACATGGATTGATACACTGCACGTGTCGTTTGCAGGTGGGGTTTCGAGCATTGTGGATTGAAGCTGATTTTGCGATTCCACAAAGAAAAGCTCCTTTTGTGTTGACAACCGAAGCCATTCTGGCCCCAAACAAGCTGCCGTTCTCACCCTGTCAACCAGGCAACTATTCTTGCCAACAACGTTGGACATGATGACACATGCCACGCCGTTGGACTTGCCATTCGTACTCGCAATAATGAAAATAGTGTATCCATACTGGGGTTCTTTTCTTCACATTGATCTTCATGTGGTAGTTGAGCCTGCTGGAGTTTATACCGTAATCCTCCGTATATAAGACCCTAGGGTCTTATGATAATCACCCCTAAAAAGGCTGGAGGGTATATATTTTTAGAAGACCCGGGTCTGTTCATGTTGACATTTATAAGAATGTAGTTTTGGAGCTCAAAGAAGTGATTTGGAATGCTCCGTTTTGAGCTCCTCCCACAAATACTCGAATTGGTCTCCACACGGGTCGAACCTACGTCATCACGAACCCTATCTGGGAGCCTCCTCCCATTGGCCACCAACACCACTTGGTGTTCACACGACAGCGCAGGGCACCGTTTGATGGCCTCGGCCTTCACACCCCATGCACGCTTCGTGCGGGCTGCAATGTCCTGGAAAGGGCGGAATCTTCCAGACACCCCTACTGTATTCTAGCACGTCCTTGTTCATCGGGCTGACTTCACTTCCCCCTCCTGTTTCGGAATATGACCATTTTCAATTGCATTTTTGTAAAATCCTCACTTCTCTAGGATGTGGGGGGGTCTTATAATGTTAGGAGCCATTTAGGGGGGTATAACTCAGATGTACTCGAATAGAGTACCCGGGTCCGTATTATAGACCCGGGGGTCTACAACTGGGGGGGTCCTATATACGGGGGATTACTGTAATCTGCTTTTATTATCGTAGCTTCTTCAGATAGGAAACATTGTCAAATGTTTATAATGTTAGATATTGTCAGTTATTTCAGGGTACAACATTTCCTAGGTTAAAGCCCGCGGCCTGAATTGCAGAGCGCGGGGGACAAGCTTTTAAAACTTGAAGGAATTGAGTGTGCAAGCTTTGAAAACTACCTGCAATGTGGGACTTTCAAAGACTGGTCCAACCCCCAGGGCGAAATACGAGGGTGGGGCTGGGTTTGGCGAAAAAAACGAAGAAAACTAAATCGGAATCACTCGCCAAACCCCATACCAGGAAAACCCCCTCGTGTCAACTCTTTAAAGCCCGGGGTTAGCATGGTAAATTTTCAAGTTATGTGGATTTGAAATAGGCAGTAGGTGAGGGTGTGCGAAAACCAACAGCTAAAATAGTGACCCCCCCCCCCCCCCCCGCTTCTAGTGGGTGCAATCGAAATCCCAAACTAACTTTGTGAAGCTTCTGGAAGTCGATGTGTTCTGTTTTGTTTTTCACACACGTTCAAGTCTTCACAAAAAAAACTACAGAACAGTCGCAAGCATGTGCAAATGCGTTGCAAGTTTGCGACGTGCAAATCCCAATCACATCGTGTGCCAATTTCTACAAGTGTTGCGTGTGCAATTCACGCACAACAAACGCCTTAGATATGGGCTTGCTGGAGCGGCAAAAACAACAGAGGAAAACCGAATGCAAGAAAAAACAGAGAGTTTCAAGTTAGATATAAAAAAAAGGGAAAGAAAACTCACGAAGAGAGCTGAGTGAGCGAAAATAGCCGAATAGTAGAGTGTTGGGAGAGACATTGGGGAAGGTGACGTGAGGTGGAGCTCGAGCGTTGAGGTGGGTGATGGGAGGGGAGAGAAGAAGGGCGACGGGCAGGCATTTCAGGGCGAGCGCGAAGGCGCCGAGGTGGGTGATGGGAGGGGAGAAACGAAGGGCGGTGGGAGAGAGAAAGGGCGACGAGAGAGATGAAGGGAGACGGGAGAGATGGAGGGAGACGGGAGAGATGAAGGGCGACGGAAGGGAGAAAAGGCGACAGGAGAGAGAAAGGGCGACGAGAGAGAGAATGGGCGATGAAAGAGAGGTTTGAAACAGTGTTTTATCAGCCTAGTGTAATTTTCGCTCCGCAACAATCTTTCAAGTTGGGACGGGGTTCACTATTCTAGCTTTCGGTTTCAAAACTCATGCAATTCTAATATGGTATTAGAGTAGGTAACAATTCCTACCTCCCACGCTTCCGCTCCCTCCCTTAGCTTCTCTCGAGGCGCCTGTCCCTTAAGCTCTCCTCCCGTTCGTCGTGCGTAGGACGCACACCCCCCCCACCCCCCCCCGCCCCCCCCCCCCCCTACTACCCCCTACGCCCTCCCCTCCTAGCCGCCCGTGCAAGGGCTTCGCGTCCCCTGCCAGAGCCGCACGCGCCCCGCTTGAGCAGCGCGCGCTCCCTGCCAAAGCCGCGTGCCCCCCTGCCAGAGCCGCACGCGCCCCGCTTGAGCAGCGCGCGCTCCCTGCCAAAGCCGCGTGCCCCCCTGCCAGAGCTACGCACGCCCACTGCCGCGGCCCACGAGCAGCAGGCGCACACGCTGCAGAGATAGCTTAATTAACGGGAGCTAGATTACGGGCTAGGCACGGGCAAGAGTGATCTCTGCATTCGTTCACTTAATCGTTTCCTTGTGTGCTCACTACTTGCTTGTTCACGGGGAGAATTGGCAAGAGTTTTACCAGGAAAAGATTTCACAACAATGTTTGATACAACAATGCCAACACAGACTACATCAGAATGAGCATGCAAGTCGGTCGACTGCCAGCGCAACACGGTCGACCGCGTGCCAGCACGACTTGGTCGGCCGCACTCCAGCAGGGCAAAGTCGCGGCTTGCCAACGTTGCAAGTCCACGGTGTGCCAACGATGCAGCAATTCGGCTGCACAGCGTTGCACCCGCAGAACAACGGTACACCTGCTTCGCAGGTGCGCGCAGCTGGTTGTTGCACCACTCCTTGTCACGTGCACAGCGCAGACCCCGGGTCGACTCCACGCTAGCGACTGCGCCCACCAGCCACGTCGACCTCGAAATACCACTTCCGAGGCCGGTCTGGCAGAAACCACCCTGGCGACCTTCGCACACATCGCCCGGGTATCCCGGTCGCCCGGGAAACCCCGCCCGGTCGACCAGCTCAGTCCGTTGCCGACCACCCATGACCGGCGTCCCCTATGTCGGCTCCAGCTAGTCGACGCTCGGCGTCCTCCCAAGTCGACCTACTGGCCTGGTGCCATCTTGCTCGACGCCCTGCTACTCGACGCCCAGCTCCCCCATCCAGGTTGACGTCGGCGCCCTCTTTGTCGACCACCAGGTTAGGTCGGCCGCCTGGTCGACCACCCCAAAACCGGCGCCCAGAAGTCGGCGCCCGTGCAGTGGCCACCGCGCAGGTCGACCATCCTCGTCGACCAGCTCGCCCACTGCTGCAGGTTGGCTGCACTCCCCCGTACACCCGACAACGAGGTCGGCTCCGCCCAAGCGAGGACGGGGCCTACCACAACTCCTGTTGACACTCCCCTGCCGCGTTCACATTTGGGCCCCCAGCCCACACGGCAGCACCACACGGAGAATAGCTTGTTGGCGTGCACCCAACACACAGCACGTCGGTCACCGCACCAGCCATGCAAGATGGCATGGCACCTACCGCTGCACGTCGTTGTCGCCGTCGCCCACGTCAGCTAGGCGCACTTGGCCGATTGTAACGGAGCACCGGTTGATGGCCGGATAGTGCAGCGCCTTTGTCAGGAAGTCGGCCGGTGCTCGGTGGTCGGGATGTACTTCAGCGTCAATATCCCGTGCTTCACCATGTGCTACAGCCAGGCTTGTCGCTGCTCCATGTGCTTGAGGTTGCCTGTCAACCCCATCCCCTCGTCGACCGTGATGGCCGAATTGTTTTCCACCCGAAAGACAGTCGGCGTCCCGACGTCCAGCTACCAGAACTCTGCAAGAAGGAAGCGAAGGCGACGTCCCTCCTTGCCGGCTTTTGTTGCCGCCACGTACTCTGACTCTGTCGATGACAACGTCGCACACTTGATGCGCTGGCTCGACCAAAAGACTGCGGCCCCTATGTAGACAAACACGTAGCCGACCGTGCTCGTCTGGTTCTGTTTGTCGCCGGCGTTGTCGGCGTCCACGTAGCCGATCCGCTTCAGCGACTCTGGACCACCGCCAAACTCCAGGGCGGTGCCACGCGTGTTGGCGAGGTAGGCAAGGCAGCCGTTGACCTCACGCCAATTCTGGTCACTCATCACCGTGAGGCCGCTCCCCAACTTGCTACAGATGAAGGTGATGTCCGGCCTCGTCGTCGTCGCCGCGAACTGCAGCGAGCTGACCTTCTGTTGGTACTCCTCCTCCTGGCGCTCTTGTGCCTCCTCGTCGCCGAACGTCAGCTCGGCGTAGGCGTCGACCAACACCGGTGTCTTCGGGGTGCGCCCAGTCTACTCCTCGTCGAGGACTCGCCTACGCAGCTTGTCGGTGTAGCACTGCTGATGGAGCCATAGCTTCCTTACCGGCCTATCGCGCACGATCTCCAACCCGAGATACTTCTGCACTGGTGAGATCTCCCGCAGCTCGAATGTGGCCTCCAACAGCCCATTCAGCTCTGTCAGTATCACTGCATTGCTGCTGGCGGCGAGCAGTTCGTGTTGGTGCAACCCTATGGTTTGCACTCGGCTTGTTGTCCGTGTGCGTGAATGTGTGTGTGCATGGAATGGTATGAGGGCATGGGATAATATATATTTCATGCTTATAATTGTGTGTGAATGTTGAGTCATGATGTCGAGTGTGTGTGTTGAGTCAATGGCGAGTTATCGCTAGACGCGTGTTACGCGGTCGTTTGTGTCTCGCGCGCGGTTTCTATTTTGTCGTGCGCGGTTTCTATTTTGCCCGGTGTCGAACGTTCGGTGTGTCGCCGGTGTGTGCAGCAGACCCATCAAGAACTCAAGGATGAGTTTGTGATGAAGAGCCCGAGCCTTGGTGTCAAGCCTCAAGTGATTTTGAAGCTCGCCAAAAGGGTACACCTCAAGATATTGAAGATAGTTACATTACTTTGTGTAGTGTAACATTTCACTTGGTGTAGGCCCTAGTGAAGGGTAGTTTCGAGACCCTTCGTGGTTGGGGACAGTATGGCACTGTTCCACATCACTGTACCTCGGCTCTTGGGGTCTGTAGGAGCTGGGAGTCATTCCCAACTCGTAACTCTTC